CGGGCAGCCCCTGGTGCGGGCAGGGGTGGTAGGTGGGCAGCCTGCCTGCCCTTCCCCCTGCCGCCCTGCCACACTGGGCACAGCCCGGCCGCTGCCTGCTGGAGCTCTTCCCTTCAGGTACTGCTGATGGGAGAAGGGTCTCCAGAGTAAACCTCCTTTTCTCTCTTTTCTTCTTCTGAGGTGCAGTTGGTGAGCTGGGGTCAGGTCACCGTGCCCAGTGCCTCCCAGTGCCTGCCCCACGGCCCCACTGGCCACGGGGGCAGCTGGAGATGGGGTTCAGCCACTCAAATGACCTGTCTGTAAATTACCATTCAGATGTCTTTTATCTGTTCCATTGTGCTTTATGTAACCCGGCGGCTGGAATTTTGAAAATAAAATAGAAGTGCACACTGGAAGGGAAAAGAAATTTTCAAATGAAAGTGGAAGATGAGGCAGATGGAATGACTCTGAAGAATGTTTAGTGTTCATTTGAGCTGTGCTTTGACAAGTTGTTTGGTGTGGATGTGAGAGCATTTTTACTGAAAGCAGAGACATTTTCATCTTCTAAAGCTGGATTTCCATATTGGGTCAGTACCTAACTCCAGAACTCTTCCTAATTATGACTCTGCTCTGTGAAATAAATGAAGAACTGGCACCTTTCTGCTTGACCTGCGAGCTCCCCACATGTGTCTGTATGTCAATTATTCTTAACTGTGGTTTAACTTTGCTGAACCAGCACAGGTTTGAAAGCATTAGATGACATGACAGGATTAGCTTGACAAAAGATTGACAGAATTAATTAGATCGGCTGAAGTGGTTTGGATCTAGATTCCAGTGCTGAGCACCCCTATTCATTTCAGCTTAGGGCCCTACTTAGGCTTTTGTGGCTGGGTGAAGCCCAGCAGGAGGGCTGCCTTCGAGAACACCTGCGTGTCCTGCAGAGCTCAGCGCTGCCTGTCACATCCCCTGCTGAGAAACAGCCCCTGGAGAATTAAAGAAATTCTAAACTCACACCAGCCTAAAGAGCAGGGCTTAAAAAAAGAGGACAGAGCTTTTGTCAGGAAGCTTATGTGGAGTACATTGGTAACTGCTCGATGTAAAAGCCCTTAAAGCTACCTAGAGAAAAGAATTTATGGTGTCAGAACCAGGCTTTAATGTTAAAGTGGATGGGGTGAGTTTGAAGGACTGGGAGAGCTGGGTTCTTTTTCAGCTCTGCCCATGTCTGTGTAACACTGTCATGGAGAGAGGTGAATGCAGAGTTTCTTGGGGTCCTGACAGGGGGATGTTTTGAGTTATAGTGTGCAGCTTTGGGCATGGTTAAGATGGTTTAGACCTGGAGGGGATGCACTGAGCATCTGCAGCACATGATTTCCAAGTAACGATTATCCAAACAGTGTGTACCTAACTTCAGGTGAATGTTTGGGGTTTGGGGCTGTTGGCACAAGCAGCTGCTGTGCTTGGATCTGCTCTGTGGGCTGGGTGGTAGGGGCAGGTAGCCTGATCCCTGGGTGAAAGCGTTGTACGATCTCCCTTTGCCTGTCAGTACCTTCATGGTAGTAGATACACCAAAAGCATAGTTTTGAGTAATGGGTTTCCCTTCCCCCTTTCTCCCTGAGTCAATGTTAGTTTGTTTTACAACAAGATGTTCCATGGAATTTTATGTGTTAGACATGTATGAAAGTGGTCAGTGTCACCAGATTTAAAATATGATTCAGTTGCATGGTTCATGTGGCCACACTACAATTAAAGCTGATTTACTGCAATGGGAAAATTAAAACCTTACATTTGTCACAGTTAGCTTTGTAGGATTCAAGAGAAGCCTGAAAAAATGGTAGACATAATTTAAAGGCAGTAAAAGCCACTAAAGAAAAAAAAAAGGACTAGATCTGATGTTCCATCACATGTAGAAATTTTAGCTTGCTACATTTGTTAAGTAAGTAAATAAAAATGTCACTAAATGAGTGAATGCTGTTGAAGATGTATATGAAGTGAAGAGTGTATGAGACTTGTATCTAACACGTAGAGTTTGAGAATTGATACTGTAAATGCAGAGGTGACTTGAACCTTACTTGGTTGAATTTGAGGTAGCTACATAAAGAGTAGAGTTTTTCCACTTACGTGTAGTTGAACATGATCAATACGATCAATAAATTCTAAGCCCTACACATCTTATCAAGTCTATTAATTGTAGGTAGTGTGTTTGCCTATTGATGATCTGCTTTTGGAGTCTTTTCTTTGGTTATATTATCGGTTGACTTTCAGGCTTACAGTTTCTCCAGCAATAAAACAGATTGAATTAAAAGGTTTCTGACATGTAGGGGGGTTATTTGTGGGTATGCACGCATCTTCTAGGATCATATTGCAACTAAGATGATTTAAAATAATGGGAAAAGAAAATGTAGGGAGAGTAATTTTCTATTAAACTATCTGGCCTATGTTCACTTCTAAAGGGAAGTATCAAGAAAACAGTTTCAAAAATTTTTGCTGAACAGAACATCCAAAGATCCATTTTCATATTTGTACAGTTCTTGTATTAAGCTTGATTGCATAGGTAGCAAGTGGCTGAGGTGAAAACACTCGGTTCATTTATGGAAGAATCAGTGCTCTGGGGATGAAGGTAATGATATTCTAAAGAAATGGAGTTGAGCAGGCCCAATGTCCTCTGTTTATTGCCTCCACATTCACAGTTACATGTAACTAAAAAGGATGTGTAATAAAACCTTTTAATTGCCAATAGCTGCTCCAGACCTTTCACATTGCTAGAAAAAAAAGTTATTTTCTTTTAATTTATTGCATTGCATTTCACAAGCTGCCTTTCACTATCTTGAAGAAATATATCTGTATCTAATACTTCTCTGTTATTGTTTTGCTTTCAGTTGATGGTTGCATTGACTGGTCAGTGGATCTCAAGACATACATGGCTTTGGCAGGTGAACCAGTCCGAGTGAAATGTGCCCTTTTCTACAGCTATATCAGAACTAATTATAGCATGGCCCAAAGCACAGGTCTTAGGCTCATGTGGTACAAAAACAAAGGAGATTTAGAAGAACCCATTATATTTTCTGAAGTTAGGATGAGCAAGGATGAAGATTCAATATGGTTTCACTCGGTTGAGTTGCAAGACAGTGGTTTCTACACCTGTGTTCTAAGGTGGGTATTGTGTTAAAGTCTAACTCAGAATGTATAGATTGTCTTGGTTAAAAAAAATGTTTAAATTTAGCTCTCAGGATTGAGAAATTCTTCCAGTTAATATATGCTCATTATTTTTATTCTCATAATTATATACATCACATAATGCTTTGTCTCAAAATTAGTTTCCCTAGTAACTATAGTTACCTCTTCCAATAGCTATAATTAAAGATGTGCTTTCAATTAATTATTTTTTTTTAATAAGTCTATAATTTGCAGATTCTCAATCTTCCCTAAACATTCAGAACTGGATGCTTCTTAAATCATAAAGTACTTTGGTTAAGTAATGCTCTTTTTCAAATCCTCTGTGTTACTCAAAGGTTAGACACAGTTTGAATTATTCTGATGGGGTTAGGCCATGGGGAGTTACAGTTCTGTCTGGCTTTGAAGAAATGTTTATTTTGATGTACAGTTACGATTTGTCATAAATCTAGGCAGACCTTGTTTGGTAAGGCCCTGAAATGCATGTCTCAGAAGTATTTTGGAACTGTTGGATGAGCCTTAAATTAAGCATGTGCTGGAGCTCGTGATTTCCATCATGTCGATGTTGATGTCAACTCTATGCCTAAAAAGAGAAGATAAAAAAGGAGGACTCATTACGAATTAATGAATAAATATTCCTTAAATGATCCAGTTTTGATTTAAAAGGAGTTTACAGATGCTTTATGTGATTTGGTTTTAAACTAGTTTCAGAGAGTGAAGCTTGTTTAATCCTTGTTTGCTGTTCCTTACTAAAATTATGCACAAGTTCAAGGAATATAATATCAAAGTCTTGCATCAAAATAACAGCAGAGTTTCTGAATTACGTTCAGAGCCAAGAATTTGTTCTTTCTCCACCTCTGCTAAGTTTTGGTGCCCTGTCTCAGCTACTTCAATCCATTTTGAACCTGGAGAATGCTACTACTGGAACTTCAGTGGAGCTGTACTTTCATTTGTACTTTTGCAAGAAGCCACTATTGTGATAGTCAAGTTACTAGTTTAGTTTTCTGGAAATTTTAAAGCAGATCCTATGGGAAGAATGAAGAATTATCTTGGATCAAATTCGGGGACATACTTTTTTTCTAGGACATTTTGAAAGTCTTTGCTCATTTACATGATAAAGTACTTTTGGTAACAAATGGACAAGTTCTTCAATTATTCAAGCATCCTCCTAATTTTCAGATGGCATGCTTCTTGGGAGGCATTACACAGCAGTAACATCTTCCTTCTCAGTTAGGCAGTTTTCCTGTTTTGGCTAGAACTTCCTTATATATTTACAGGTATTTTTGCCTTTTTCAGATTTATTTTGAAGTGTAGAATATTTAGATAATGGTTACATATGAAAGGCTATATTTCTTCTTTTACTGAATTAATTTTTTCTTCCAACAATTTGGTAATTTATCCTCGCTGTTACTGTTTATGAGATGTTAAATGGCTTAAAATAGCTGAGGAAATATCAATTTATTTTAAATTTGTTAAAATTAGGTGGGATGTAATGTTCTGAAATGTGATCCCACTTTTGTGGTAGACTGTCCACACCATTAACTGTGTGATTTCAGCTTTATTAATCCATTTTTCTGGAGGAGAATAAGCAGATGTGTGTGGTTTGGTCACTGACCAAGATCACCTGCATTGTGAGAACTGAGAGGTCATAAATGAGAGCAGTAGTTCTTGAAAAATTGTGTTATTTTCTAGAAACTAACAATTTCTGTTCCAAATGCCTTCTTTTGTAGACTGAATGAATAGAGTGCAGTGGAAATGAATAGGTGACTGTGTCCATGAGTGTGCAACACTGGCCTTAGGGTTGCATGTGTAGTCGAGTCTTTTGATTTGGTAGCTGAATGAGAAAAATTGGGGAGGAAAATGCTTTTGGTTCAAGTTAAACATAAAACTTTTGAAGTGTTGAGCAACAAAGAAGTTTTCATTTAGGTTCTCTAACAGAAAATCAGAAGCAACTCCAATCTAAATGCCTTTCTAGCCACTTACCAAGGACTTGGGAAGCCCTAATATAATTCACTGTGCTGCCCAGAGGTTGAAACCCACATTTGAATGTCCCAGTGGCGAGGGTGTGCTGCATTTGAGCACAAGTCTCTTGCCTTAGAACTGTTCTCTCTGACATTGATACTTGTTTGTGCAAAAGAGTGCAAGGGAGTGAGATGCTTGGATGTGGCGCTAAGGCTAAGGGGAGACAGAATTCCCTGTCCCAGAAGAAGTTTATGGCTTGAAAGGAGGGGCACAGTCTCAAGCTGGGAAGATCTTCTCTGAGAGAAAGGAATTGAACACCGCAGGTTTTCAGCAAGTTGTACATAAAGGGTGTCACGGACAATAGTGACAGCTTCGCTAATTCACTCTCCCCAGAATTCTTATTTTTTCCCCAATCAAAACAATCTGGCAATTAAGAAAACTGTATGGGGAAAATGACAACTGCATGTTTCACTGAATGTCCTATTTGTTGAAAAAGTTCTTCAGAATTCTAAAAAATGCCCTGATTTTGGAGAAGCTGCCTTTTCTGATTGCTGAAAGCATGAGTATCTTTGAAGCAATTGGAAGAAATTTTTCAGAAGCTGCTTGAAAAGGATGGCTATGAGCAGGGGGAGGATAGGCTGGTATGACAGTGATTTGGAGTTGAGTAAAAATTAAATGCATCAGTTAATTCTTTCTTATACAGAATTGTCATTTCAATGATCATAATGCCTGTTTTGTAAATGAACCTGTAATATGAATAAAATGAAGGAATATTAGAGGAGCCTTAGTGAAAGAAATTGCTCCTCCAGGCTGAAAAAGTCTGAAACCATAATTTAAAAATTGCTTCTCCTTTGTTAACCAATTAGACATTGTTCCGTGAGAGGTGTGTGCATATAATAGGAGGAAATTATTGTTGCATTAAAACTTACTTCTCTCTTCTCACAATACATTTCGACATTGGGCTAGCACCAAATGCATGATGCAGACCAAAGTGTGTTAATTTTCTCCAGTCGTAAGCATAGCTATAACTTATTAAGGGCTCCTGATCCTGCAGGGGCTTTTAAATCAGTGCAGGGTTGAGCTGTGTTAGCTAATCCATGTGAATTCCATGGATCTACTTCCTTCTCAGGTGCCTTTTCTGTGCCTTTGCCCTTAGCAAGGGACTACTGCTGGAGCCCTTTCTTCTAGCTGGGTCCAGCTCCAAAATAAACTGAAGTACTGAATAAGCGCTTCATGAACAAGACCACTAAGAGTAAAACATCAGTGCATACTTGCTGTTAATTGACTGTTGGTGAAGTAAAATAATTCAATTCCAATAATGTGAATCAGGAGGGTAGAAAGTCTGGGCCTTGAGGGAGTGCAGGGAAAGCAGGAGCTGGAGGTTTGTGGTCTCCAGTCTGGCTGATGGATCTAAGCCTCAATTTCTGTCCAGGATGCAGGAGGGAGTGAGGGCTCTGAATGCCTATGAGGCAATAAGCCTGCAGATCTTTAATACCAGCATTTGATGCCAGAGAACTGCCAACAAATCAGGTTGGGAAGTCTGCATATCCTTTTCCCCTTACTCTGTCCCTGTCTACACAGATCTTAATGGAGAGCAGCATTGCTGTGGACATGCACAGAAGAATCAAACCTTGGCAGGGCCATTGGTGGAATATTGAGATATTACTTTCTGAGCAGTAATAAAATACACTGATAGTAGATTTTAAGCCTTCTGGCTTATGAATATCTGTGGAGCATATGATCAGCAAATCAAAATCAGATTAAGACAGCCTGGAGGGGCTGCCAGTAAAATTTCATTTGTGGCATAACCTTTGTGCTCTCACAGCAGTGAGTGTTAGGTGGAGCTGAGGAACTTGTTTCAAATGCCTACAGCCTGGACTGCAGTACGAACCTGTCACCCCAAGAAAAGCTGCACCTCTTCTTTGAGCACTGAAAGTCTGGCTTGCCAGCAAAAGGAGAGAAGAGTTTTTGTCAGGTCCAAACAGAGACCAAACAGGAAAATGGGATGAAATCATGATGTGAAAATGTGCAGGGGTAGGGTCCATTTCTCTGCAGCCATCTCGCACGGGTCTTACAATATGTGTTTCAACATTAACATGTTTCGTTTTCATGTGCTTTGGCTTTATTCAGTGCTCAGCTGTTCAGCACAAAGGTGACTTAGTGTCTCAAATCTTTTTGAAGCAGTGTTTTAGTTCCAGTTTAGTTTAGGATACCTCTTTCTATATGCTTCACTGGCAAGTGCTTTTTATTCCCCACAGCCTTACTCTGAAAAGTTCCAAAGACGATGCTTTCTAATGGGCCAGTGTCTTAAATCCTCAAATGCCCAGGAGGAGCACATCTGAGTAGCTGATGGATTACACATCTCCTAGTTACCTCCCAGACTTGCACACTGATACATGACCAGCTTGCACGGCTGTGCTGTCCCGGGCCTGTCTGCAGAAGCCAGCTGAATTTCATACTCAGAGCAGGTGCCTGGATTCAGCATGGCATAGTCTTCCCAGGCTCTGTATGACACTAACATTAAATGTCACACATTAAAAGTGTGTGACATTCCCCACATTAAAAGTGATTGATTCTGTATAAACAAACCCCCTGTGATATATGGTATTCAATACTTGGAGACAATGTTAGAGCGCATACGATATAAAGTCAGTATGATTCATGATAAAATAAAGTGTAACTTACTGCAATATAGTGTTTTGGCATTATGAAAATGCAGAGGAAAGTAGAATCAGAATGCCTTTACTTTTCTATCTAAAATTGTGTAAAAACTGATGGTGCTCCTGCAAATCATTTTGATGCCATTGTGTTTATTGAGAGAAATCAGTTCTGTCTGGTCCTTTGACACTTACAGTTGCTAAAAGACAAAGATTTGTTTCTTTTCCCTGGTGATATTTATATTTTTGCTCCCTCACCCTCCTTCTCTAAAGCTTTAAAAGAGAAAATATCCATCTTCTGTCTTTCTGAAAGCCAGTTTACTGTTGATGAGAAGCTGCAGGAACAGTCAGGACTTCAAG